TTTTTTTTTTTTTTTTTTTTTTTTTTTTTTTTTTTTTGTCAGGTACTTACAGATTTTCTGTTGTGAGAGGTTTCAGGAGGCTTTTGAGCCGTGGTCTGGTCCCCGATGATAAACTTGTGTTCAAACTTTCTGCAGACGGCAGAGAAACTGGCACATCTATACCACTTACACTCATCCCAATGGTCAGACCCTGGCCTGGACACAAGAGGAGATGGACAGCTGGAGCACGAGGCTGCACTATAAAGGAGTGGGCAGTTCTGCCATGGCACTTACCCTTCTCCAAGGCACTTCCTTTGTCAGCTTTGGATGCTGTTTTCAACTTCTTTTCACGCTTTTTTTCATATTCCTCCTGCCATTCTTTTGGAGATAGCTGATAGAGGAAGTCTCTGTACATCTTGTACTCTCGCAGAGAATTCTCAAATCTGGTTATATCACTGGGGTGGGAAAAGTGGGCAGTTTGTTAGCAGGGAGGAAAGCCCCTGTTTGAGCGAGTTGTTTTTAACCCCTGACACTCAACTACACCTAGAGAAGGGACAGGGAGCTTGTGTCCTCGTGCACACGGAGATAAATGTGAACCTCTCTGTGTTGCAGGGGCTGGTAAAGGCTAGGCAGGGATAGTGTGTGATTCTTACCTTTGGAGGCTCATTATTTGGGAACTAATTGCGTGGATCTCTACTACTTTCTTTGCTTTCACTGCGGATTCTTTTTCAGCACTAGAGAAAAATACAGCAAAATGAGTCACAAAACAGTTTAGCAATAAAGAGGTAGTGAGCTGAGATGCATGTAACATGGATAAAAAGATGGGGAGGAACCCTAGAAACCTCTCTGTTGTAGATGAGGACACACCATCAGTGACATTTGTTTCCTGCCTGAAGGCCCTGCCTTGGCAAAGGGAGCGTGGGGTCCAGCAGCACTTCCAGGTCAGAGTGTTCCTAATTTGGCTGCTGCTAAGCATCAGTTTCTGCTCTGCCTTTATGTAATGGGCCGAAGTGCCTGGCTTGCTTTGCTTCAGGGACTGTTCCTGCTGTGAGGGGTTAGGGAGAAGAGTCTGCCTGTTATAAGTATTGTGAGGTGGTGGGAACAATGGTGGATTCTTTACTGCACACAAATTGAAGGCTTCATTAATGAGGGGATTTCCCAGCTACTGGTTCCTTCTCTTTCACTGAATGTGTGGAGAGAAAAAACTACCAGGACTGTAACTCTGGGAAAACCCAGATGCAGGGAATCTGAGGTTGGATACTATCCAAAACCCTCTGGGAAATGTCAAGCGAAAAGCCTCCTTTATCCAATGCAAAAGAGTTGCATGGATGGTTCCCTCAACTTCCATTACATTTTCAGGGCTTGAATGGAGCTTTTATGGTTCTCCTTCAGGAACTCATCAAATACGGCAATATCCTTCTCCAGGTTGTTTTCAGCCTTTTCCAGTTTTCTTTCCTCTTTTTTTGCTATGTTCTCCAACTTTTGAATCTCTTCTTTCTTTACTGCTATGGCATACTGAAATGAACCCAAAAGATAACATGGTCACATTGGTTGATACTAAAGGTGTGTTGGTTTGGCTTTGCTCTTGGTTACCTTCTTGCCTTACAGTTGTTGGCAGAAGGTAATGACTCAAAACAAGACATGTCTTAGTGCAAACTAGGCACATAGAGACCAGAGATATTTCAGAAGTAACACAACAAATAAGCAGCGACAAAGATGATTCAGCAGTGTTATAGCACAACAATAGAGATGAATAATGGGGATATTCCAATGTCATTTTGATTTCATAATGGCTCTCAGGGATAAATTATATGAGTAGAGCAAAAGCCAGAAGGTCAGTATATGTGTGTATTCTGCAAATTAAGGAGGAAATAATTGGATGGCAGCCACTGGGTGATGTGAATGGCCTATTTCATTTCTTAGTGGACTGATGGTCTATAGACTATAAGTGTCTTTAACATGTGGCTTGGACAATCAAGTTAATGAGATCTGATATATGCCCTGCTGATGTAACCTCTAGGCAATGGATCTCTTGAAAACAAACAAAAACCTTAGGCAACAATGAAGGACAATTAAACGAGCAGAGAGTAACATTCTTAAAGAAAACCAAGTACCTCAAGTAAAAATATCTCTCTTCTATCATTTATGTAGTCACGGAAAGTTTCTTTTTCTAGTGGATAATCTGAAATGAGGACAAAAAATTCATCAGATGACAGGAAGAAATATGGTCATGCAAAGAACAGTGAATATGGTAGCAGCTATAAGCTGGTTGGATGGATGTGGTTGGCACTGGAGCTAGCAAGACTGATTATTTTAATACCATTTTGACACCGGTTTTGATCAGTTTCAAATGGACTCTGTAAAAACAAGTAGAATTGAGGGGAGAATCTTGTCCTTACAAAGATCAAATTTGGTTCTCTAGACATTAATGGCAAAGCTTCTCCTCTGTCAGAGGCAGAAAACGACAGGTTCATGTACACCAAAATCCAGCTCCAGGTCAGCTTAGTAAAAATGTCCTCACAACACGAGGTCCTGCAAGCTCTCAGCTGATTTCTGTGCTGCCTCCCAGGGCTCAGAGCTATTGTGGAAGCCACAGGGGATGCTGGAACCCAGGCTGCCCTGGTGATGTGACATCTGCTGCAAATGTAAAGGCATGAGATGGACACAGCGCAGCCACACACAGGCTATCAAGGTGAAGCAGGTAACTGCTGTGCCTACAGGAGCTCACCAAGGTCAGCTAGAACTGCCAGTCCCATCCCCTTTTTGATTTTTGATTTAGGCTGCTCTCCAGCTGAACAGCGCTGCTACGAAGACAGGAACCACTTCCTACCTTTTTTAATGGCTATCTTCCATGAAAGACACTCCTGAAGAGCTTTCAGTCTCTCTTCATCTGTTGCCTGTTTTCTGTTTTCTTCTTCCTCTTCCTTTTGCAAAGCTTTCCTAAACCCCTTTTCCTTTGCCTTGTTTTTAGCAGAGTAAGTCATTTTCTCATGAATTTTCATGGTCTTCATCTTTTCACGTTCCTATAGGAAGTCAATTATGTGGACAAACTGATAATCTGTTTTGTCTGCTGTGGTTTTTAGTGACATCAAGTGTTCATTCACAGTCTAGAAATTTGCAGCTACTAATAACCTGCTGATGTAAATGCCTAAGTCTGGGTTAAGAGAAGCTCTTGAAACCCACTCCAAAGCTCTCTGGAAGGTGAAATGTTGTTCATACTCAGTGCTTTCACATGGGCTGAGGTCTGTAATTCGTTGCCCTCTGTACAGATTGGGCGCAGGTGAGGCTGAGGGCAATGCTCAGCAGACATCCTTGGTGCCCTTCCTCATACTTAATGACCTTGAACCCAAGCTAAAATCAAATTATCAGTCAGCTGAGGAGGCTTGCATAAGCTTGTTGGGAGGCTTCCCTTTGTGATTTAGTAACAAAGACCTCTTGCTTTCACATCACTGCTTGGTTTCTGCAGCTGCATCAATGCTTAGGCCTTTCTGAGACATCATAACCTCTCTGTGATTTCCCAGTGCTGCTGGATCATGTGCCCTAGAGAAAATTCTCAGTGGAAATAAGAAAGAAAGAGACATTCCAGAGACCCAGCTCTGTTGGGTTGTAATTCATTGTTTTATGGAGAGAAACTTAAGGCATGAAGCCCATGTTCTCCTTCTTCCTAGGGCTGTTGAACTGGAAGGAGAGAGACCTTGCACCAAAATTTTCTGCAGATAATCAACACTAGCAGCACTAGCAGGCATCTTCTCCAGGAACAGGAGAAAGTGGCAAACCTACCTTTGGGTATGGAAGCAAAATGATAGTGCATAGGTTGTGCAATAGCAACTAGCAGGTCTGTGCTCACACTGCTCTGTGTAAGGTTAATCTCACATCATGGATCTCAGTGAATCTGTAGCTGATAAGGGGGAATCTGAGCTGAATTTAGCAGGTATTGTTTTCCTTATGCATGGTCTGGTTTTATGTTGGTTAGTTGCCTGCCCTAGTGGGCCTCTTGAGTAACACATGGGTGTAAAGAACATACATACCTCCTTTGCCTTTTTTCTTTCCTTGTTCCTTATTGCAAAAATATCAATATCTGGAGGAACTGTAAATGGATTTTTGTAAATGGATTCTTTATCCTCTTCTGGGAATTCTGCAAGAAATGGACAAGGATGTAGAAGATACAAGGCAGGATGTCAGAAGCCAGTGCAAAGGGACTTGGATCTGCTGCATTGTGGCAACATGTCTCTTGAGTTGGCTTCTGGTTGATGGCAGTTGCCTGCTAGCTTTAACATTTAATATTAGCATTTAACAAACTCAATCCAAGATTAGAAACCTCAATATACTAAGTGCCACCTGGGTCTCTTCCATCCTCTTGTTACTGGTAGGCGTGCAGTCCTCTCTGGAGAGGCAATGAGGTGAGTTTAAGATGTAAGTCATAACTGTTAATGTAAGCTTAAGCCCTTAGTTGTCAAAGCCTGAAGACAATTTGTTTATCTGTAAAATAGGAAAGCTTTAGGCAGGTCTGATCCTGGAGAGCAGGGCACTGTTTACTCCTGTGCAAGGTGATACTCGGCTTCATGATTTCACAGTGGGATATAAAATCAACTTTGATAGATGCTCAAGCTCAAATTAGTATCTGAGTGATCAAGAAAAAAAGGGAGTCAGGACCTCAGACCTTGGCTGTACAAGGAGATCTATCAGAGGGAAGATTCATTCCTTGCCCTTCTGCAGAGCCAAGAGCTGCGTTCCTTTGCATTCTGTCTTCCCATACCCTAACCTCATTTACTGAAGTCTTTGTTCACTGTTTTCCTCGGGCAGAACACTTACTGAAGCTTTTGGGAGCCTGTCTTATCTGATCATGGGCAGAAGACTATGAACACAGACCTCTCTGACCAAAGAACAGAAAACTGCTGGAGCATCGTGACCTTACCTGACACAAGGTAGGTTTCCATTCCAGGTTTAGAAGAGAGACTCTCACAGACTGACTCTTCATATACAAGTGGCATCCTTGATTCTGGCCCAAAGAAAAGCATAAACAAATTAATCAACTGAGACCTGCTGGAGACTGATGCAGTGAGGTTTTACAGCAGCAATGGACCTCGGGGCTTTCTGGATCTTAACCACCAAGTTCCAGTTCTGATCCAAACCCACACTTTCATCTGCACGTTGCTGGTTCGCAAGCAACAGTTTTATTCCCTGAAGCTCTTACCAGAAGTTGTTCCAGCACTGTAAGTGCTGTGGGTTTCTTGTGATAAGGCTGAATGATTGCTGGACAGCACAGACATGCTGTAGGAAATTTGGTCACGTTTAATTTTAGGCTGGCACAGCGATGAAAGTTAGTTTTTAGTTTCTCTGAAACCAGTCTCCTTTGTAGTCTTTGCTGCAGGTCCTAGGGGAAAAGGCATAATTGTAATGATCTCACTCACAGAGAACAGATAGATCATTGTTACAGTTATCCTTGAATCAAAAAAGGCAGAGTCCTGGTACTGGTTCAGTTGATGTAATTCTGCTGCTGTATTCCTGATCCATACAACCATAAGCACGGCAGAAAATATCCTCTTCCGCTTGAGCTAGTTTTAAGGCTATTTTAAAGCATCATTATTTGCTGTGAACAGCCTCCAGTTTTTATGTATTTTGAGCTAAACTCATCTGGCCTAATTTCCCTGTATGTCCTTGGTGTGATGTGTTTCCTATTGGCTGTGTTTCTGCAGCTGCCCAATTAGTGTCTTATTCTTCAGGTGTCAGACTTTCAGCACAGATGAGATGCAGTCTGAGGTAGAACTAAAGCAGTTTGTAATGCACCCCAATGTTTTCTCTCTCCTTTTCTGGTCTTGAAGTACCCACTCCAAAATCCTTTCCAAAAGCAGTATTTGGTGAATACACTTTGTGAAATATGTGGGGTGATTGTAGCAAACACCTGAGTGTTTGGCCCTCTTAGAGCACACCTTGACTTCTATAACCCAAAAGCCTTTCCATAAAAACCTTATTGTTCCACGGGGTTGTTCCAATTTCTGCTGCAAGGAATAGGACTGGAAAGCAGGACTAGGCAGAGGATACTGGCAGGTGGAAAATAAGCTGTCAGTGAAGCTCCCTGAAATAAAAAGCACTTTATATTACCTTTAGCAAAGGATACAGAGCCATTTCTAAGATCAATTTATAAACATTCTTGGTCTGAGATTGTTGATTTTTCTAATAGATTGTTTGCGCAGCACTTTGGAAACAATTCCAAAAGCTGTAGAAGCACTGGTTGTGCTAATTACAATTATTACACTCTATAATGCAAATAGAAACTGCTTTGTTGCTGGAATCATTTGGCATATATATCTCACTGCCTCTTACATTTTTACGCTTCAGTAGCTACACATCAGTGTCCAGCAGGACGTGAATCAGATAAAGCATTCAGGGTTTTAATCTATAGAAACAGTTATTCAGTGATTTTCCATTTCATCAAGCTGCTGTGCAGCAGGAAAAAAACAAAAAGACAAAAAAAAACCGCACAGAATAACCAAGTAAACATGCAAACAATTCTAAAAATGACAGAAGAAGATTCATCCATCATCTTCCCAGAGTACACAGCAAGCTTGTGTTTTGTACACTCAAATAATACACAGTGCTGGAACTCGCAGAGAAGGGAAGCGACTCCAGGTTTGGATCTGTGGGGCTCTATCCCACCACTGTGCCCCATCCCCCTGTACACCCCCAGCTCACACACGGAGGCAGAGACTGCTAACGCCTGAGATCTCCCATGATCTCAGACCTCCTCTTGTCTGAGTACAGCGTTACATCCGATGCTGACAACAAAAGAAAATGATGTAGGTGCCCTCCCCCCATTAGTTTTTTGGCTTCTCACCCCATGGACTCCACGCTCCTCACAGCCGTGGTTGGACAGGGACAGAGGCATGGATACGGCTGGCACTGTGCTGTTGATATTCTGTTTGTGCTGCCATAGAAACCTGGGCTCCTGCTGCTGGGTGACTCTTGTAGCTGGGCTCCCTGTGTTTGGGACAAGTGTTCCTGGCCTGGTGCAGCAGAGAAAAGGCTCACAGGGTCCAGCTGCAGTGAGAAGCATCATGACACAGGTACTACTATGCATCCCTAAGTTCTCAGGTAGAAAAGGGGCTCAGGTGCTTAACCCCATCTCTGCAATAAAGCACTGGGATGTGGAACTGGGAGCTGGAGTCCTGACAGTGGAAGTGACTGCAGTTTTCAGTCACTGGCACAGGCTGCCCAGGGAGTGGTGGAGTCGTCATCCCTGGGGGTGTAGAGACGTGGCACTGAGGGATGTGGTCAGTGGGCACGGTGCGGATGGCTGGGGTTGAATTGGATGGCCTTTTCCAACCTAAGTGATTTTATGGTTCTTTATGACTTGATAAACTATCAGTTGAGGAAAGCGAATTACGGAGGAAACGATTTTCGGTTTCTGTATTTTCTCTTTCCTGCTTCTGAGAAGACCAAATCAATTCCAAATGGATCACATTCTTCTTTAGACTCTCTATTAAAATAATTCTGGCTTTCCAAAATAGCAGTTTCCTTTATTTACAGATAGGTTTCCAAACAGCTTTTTCCATCTGAATAAGTCATGCAATAAATAGCACACTTTTCTGTAAGTGCAAAATCCCATTTGATTGTTTTAATTCTTTTCCGTGATTGCTGATTATCAAGAGATTGGACTTAGGCAACAGAAGGGAAATGCTTACAGAGGAAAAAAAAAAAATAATAATAATCTTTATTCAGTACACGAGTACTTTGATTCTTAGCAATGATACAAAAACCATAGGATTTTTTTTGATATATTTTAGGAAATTTCCCAGATGTACTGGGAGTATGTATCAAAAATAAGACTGTAGAATAATTTCCATTATAAAAAAAATAATTTAGGAGTAAATTGTACTTAAAATACACTTTTCTGAAGGTGTAATATCAAATGCCCTTTGTTCGCAAATACCAGTTTATTACAGGATTACAAATTTGCAGTAATAGCTATCACAGAAACAGATAACATAGAGAACAAAGGCATTGGAACAGCTACAGCTCTGTCTGGCCTAACCCCTACATCATGCAGATATCTATATATCCATTGCTCTGTTTTGTGCTAAACTCTGATTTCCCAAAACTGGAACAGTGATTATTTAAAATCAGAAATGTGTTTTGGGAAATGTGGAAATGGTGTTGGTGGCTCATATCCCGGACGTGCCATGAGCCACTTAGGCTTTTGTGTTTCCTTGAGGGCAAAGAAGTTTTTAAGGCCAGAAGGGCATCTGGGGTCTATTCTTAGCCACCATTAACTTGGTTAATGAATGGAATAAATATCATGTGCACATCATGGGAAAGGCTGCTTGGTGGTGTAGGCTGTGCAGCTGACTGGTGCTGTAGCTCGTTAGGGATTTCTGGTTGTGCAGTTTAGCTTCAGGGCACCGCATTTTGGGCCTTATTAAATGCCTGGTCTGTGCTTCCCTGATGTAGATCTGGGGAAGACAAGCTGTTTGCATGAAAAGAGTTGAGGATTGCCTCTTGTGTTTCCAACAGGATGATGTCTGCAGACCCGGGGGCCTTTAGGGGAGGGTTTTGTTATGGCGTAGACTTGGGTCTGCAGGATATTCTTGTCTCCAAATGAAGGTGTGGGTGGAGGTGGTGGAGTTGCAGTCTCTGGAGTTGTTCGAGAACCGTATAGGTGCGGACATGGCTTAGTGGGCAATATTGGTGATAGGTATACGTTTGGACTTGATGATCTTAGAGATCTTTTCCAACCTTAATGATTCTGTGATATGTTTATTTCTTTGCTCCATTTATTTCTTCCTTGGAGGGAGTTGCTTGCCTTCTCTGCTCCTTTTCTGACATGGGGATGCTGATCCCTACCCCAGAGGTGCTGTGAGGGTTAATTAGTGTTGGCAAAACATTTTGAAATGGCTGATTGAGAAACGCTGCCAGAGATGAAAGCTAAAGAAGTATCTCGGTAAATAAATATTCCTTTGTAGTCTTATCTTTACAGGAAACTCCCTGTGTACCTAGGATACTGCTCAGGTCACTGAGCAGCCATCTCCCCATTGCCTGAAGTCTTCTCAAGGAGACTCATTTGTTTAAGTTTTTCCACTTCAATTTCTTCAAAGTGTGCCCTGATACACACCACACAAAGGGAACAACCTAACTAACAGCAAGTGGCACAGAAACACCACATGGATTGGTGGTTATTTTCTTTCTCTGGAGCTCTTGTTTTTCTTTTTCCTGCTGAACAATGCATCTGCAGAACCCAGCGCATCCCAAGAGGAAGAAAGGCAAATCAGAGCCGGTTTCCAGGGTAGCAATCAAGGCAGGAGGAAGGGATTGAGGCCCATAGCACATACAGTATAAGTGCTCTACTGGAGGTGGCCAGCTCTGTCTGACTGTGGTCTGCCAACAGCACTGCTGCTTACCCTTTCCCTTCATCTGAAGCTTTCTTCAAGGAGGGATTTTATCTCAAGGTGAATTTTTTTAGAGGCCAGCTACAGGTTGGCAGCAATCTTGTACTGCAGGGCTCAGTGACCCCCATTTCCCATCCTTTTGTGTTATAGGTGAGTTTTCCAGCCACGAGGGGCACCAAGAAAAGCCTCTGGCTCTTGAAGGAGAAATACCCCCAGAGACTGCTCTGCAAGAAGAGCTGCCAGCTCAGCTCTCCTCTTGGCAAACAGGCTGGTGGAGCAGGACTTATTCAGGTCATCCTGCCACTGGTCCTTACTTCCAGTGTCTTCCTGGGCTACCTCACCCAACATGAAGACCAAAAGGCCTTCAGTGGTCCTTCCCAAATGGTGTTGCTTTGTGGTTCAGCCATCTCCAGCCATGTTTGTGTGAGGCTCTGCTAGCTCCTGATTCCAGGTCCAACCTCCTGCTCCAAGCAGGGCTAACTCAGGCTGCACGAGGCCTTTCCCAGCTGATTTGAAAACCTCCAAGGATGCAGATTTCAGATGTTCTCCAAATAGCAGGAGGCAAGGTCTAGGAGGCTGAGCTTGGGCCCCTGAATGGCCCCACTGCCTTGCTTTGGTAATGATATAAGTAAACGATATTGTTACAATTTCAAGGCCAGTTCTGAAGAACTGTTTAGTCCTAATCCCAAATCGAAGAATAGTTCCAGCTTTCCCTCAAAGCTAAGTACATTTGGGGCCTAGGAGTTTGCATTTGGCCCACTGTAAAGAGAGTCACAGTGAGCTGAAGCCAAAGAGACTTGCCTAACCAAGGCTATAAATTCTTGCTATTTGCAGGGACAATTGACCCAGGAACACGAGGTTGCAACTTCGTGATTTTACATTAAGCT